CATCCTTGAGTTGGATAGCTGTCCCTTTAAGAGCAAGGCAGGCTGGGAAAGCTCTTGGGGCTATAAAATTGAGGAGCAGAGAGCTTCAAGGGGAGAGTGCTTGTAGGCAGAGCAGGGATGGCTCAGGTGTGACCCAGGGAAAAAAGGGAGGTTTTTATTTCCCATTAAAAATGTGCAATGGAATTAATGGTTTTCATCCTGCTTGAATCTTTCCCCCCAGAAAAATAATTGTAGGAGGATGAAATTTAAAGGGGACTCCTGATATAGGTCAGGCAGGTTTTGTTCCCCCAGCCCCTTTCCCTTCTTTTCCCACACTAGAAAGGGAGTGGAGGGAAGGAAAAGGGGGAGAAAGGAGAGATCAAAAGATCTGTTTGATATGCTTCCAAAAGGGCTTTTGGGACAAGAAATTGCCCCCCCGCCCCCCCCAGATCCTTGCTCCCAGGCGTTATCCTTGTGTCTGTGGCATCCTGGTCAGGTGATGCAGCATGACCCAGAGCCTGTTCCCAGCCTTGACTGTTGTCAGCACTCTAGCGGGTGACACTATGGTACTTTCCGTCCTGCCGGGCAGCCTGTCATCCGCGCCTGCTGCCAGTTGGAAAGCAAGCGGCCATGCTCCCGAAACGGCTCCCCTCCTCCTTCCCCTCCGCCTCCTCCTTCCCCCGACCAAGCTGCTCAAGGGCCAGAGAGGGCTGCGAGGGGGATTAGCAAGCGCTAAAGAATCTGCAGCCTACGTTCCACATGGCCTTTGGATTAGCTGCCCTAGATGCACATGGCATTTCCCAGGGCAGAGCTGCTGCCCCAGCAGACTGGTCTTCTGCAGCAAGAGCTAATGGGAGGCACACCTCTAGTCTCCAGCAGGTCGCAGATGGCACCGCCGCACCTGCCCTGCCCTGAGAGCTTTCATTTGCCCTTGGCTGAAGGCCTCTTGTGTGTTTTGCTGCAGCAAAGCATCCAGAGCATCCTCAAGTGCAGACTCGGGGGAGATCTGGTTTGAACATTGGTCTCCCCTTCCCCTTCCATCCGCAGCTTTGTTCTGTGTACGAGTGGCAAGAATACCATATTTTACCATAGACAACACTCACTTTTTAAAAAAACAACCCAGCTGCTGGAAATTGGAGTGTGCATTATATGTGAGAAATACGGTAAGAGTAGTTTCTGCTACATACCAGACAAAAGCAGAAGTGAAGTCTGCACACCGTTCACAGGGGGAGCAGGCTCTACTCCTGAGATGCAGTCACTCAGTTATTACAAGGAAAGATCTTTTTTTTTTCCTGTCTTCATTGTGCCTTTCAAAAACAAGGTGCAGTGTCTCATCTAGGGGCGCGTCGTATGTGAGAAAATACAGTGTAGGTCGGTGGAGAGCTGTGGTGCTTGAAAGGATTTGACTTCATTAAGGGAGACACCAGCTAGAGCCAAGATCATCTCTTTGAGTAATCCACATGGATTTGATCTTCCATTTCACCTTTGTATACAGGAGCCAGTTACTTTAACCTCACCCCCGAAGGAAATTAATTGCCTTCCTCATCCAACCCCTACCTTCCCAGTCACTGGTTGCGGAACAAGGCAGTTTAAATGGGGTGAGATCTCTAGTCATTGCTGGTTACAGAGGCCCACCATGTCATTCTAGCTCTGTCTTTCCTCCCAAACCAGAAGAGAAAGATCTGTTATAGCAAACCCTTATCCTGCTATGAAAAATTTCAGACCCAATTAGAAAACCCCAGGGAGAAGAATGGGTTTGGGTTGAACATTGCAGCCTGGAGGTTCCTGGCTAGAGGGGCTTGCCCCTCCACTCAAGGTCAGACCGATTGCTGCATTTGGGGCAGGAAGGAGTTTTACCCCATGGCCAGATTGGTACAGAGTGTTGGGATTTTTGTCTTCTTGACTAGTGGGGGTCACAGCCCTCTGTCTTGGAGCATATTTTGGCAACCCGCGACACTGGCTGCTGCTGTCCTTTTGCTTTGCCTATGTAGTTGTGGGACAAGGTTGACTGTTTCACTTATCAATAGTGATCATTTTGGATGAGAAGGATCCTTCCTCAGGCAGGGGGTTGTACTAGATGACCCCCAGCAATCCCTTCCAGCCCTACTTTCCTATGATTGTTGGATTGTCATTATCATCATTTGTACTGCAATAGCAAAAGTACAGTACCAATACAGCAATGCAGCACGGTACCAATACAGAGCAGAAAAAGCTTGTGCCCCAGAAAACTTACAGTCAGAGTTACTGATACAGCCCACAACACCATCAGCTCTGTTATAAACCTGTATTGTCCAGAGCTTACAGTGTAGGG